TTTCTCTTTGAAGAAATCTGATAGGACAGTTTAGTAACATCAATATCAAAAGAAGATCTCTTCTGTAAGAATTAGCTCCCTTTGATCAGATTACAGTAATCACTGAAACTGCTCTGGTATTCGTGTCTGGACAAGGTTGTAGGAGGCTCTAGCCAGGGTTGCACTGATATGTGTCTAAATGTCTGCTAGATGCCCCTTTGTGCTGTAACAGTAAATTCTCCCTGTCACTATGGTTCATACTGATCAGAGTAGGAACTGCAGATGGATTGAGTTACTGAAATTACTTCAACATACACACACAGTATGTGCAGAGGGGTTGGGTCAACAAAGAAACAGATTTTCTGTTTACTGTAGAAACAATGTGATTTTGCAACATGCTACTAACTGAAATTTGAAAAGGTTCCCATTTGACCATGTGGGTAAATATATACCTTTGTAATAAGAACAAAGGAAGGATTTCAGGTAATTCTATTTAAAAGTCTACATAAAAGTACTGACATGTTGAAGCCAAGACTAATGGATGTATTTTTTATCCGATGTATAAAATGATTATAACAAGATATTTTTAAAAAGAAAATATTTCTGACAGAGTTCAGCTTTAATACCCATTTCTTGTTCTTCTGAAGGAAAGCTGTCTCTGACTTTCAAAGGTCCTTTCACTAAATATATTCACTGTTAATTCACTTTCTTAGAGGTCGCTCAAGTGCCTGAACATGTTTCATCATGTGACTCAGAGCAGTTTTTAAGTACTTTAGTTTACACTAAAAAGTCATAGTTCAAGAATTAGACCACAGTGAAGATTAAGACAAGGTCCCTCAACCAGTCATGAACAGATATTTTTAACTTGCCTGAAGCGTGTATTCCGTTCACATGTAGTAAACCTGTGGCCTCAGTCTCTAAATCCATGTAAAAACATGATCCTTTTTGGAGAGGTTATAGGGACAACAAATACACTAAGTGGTCAGTCTGCTAAAAGTAAGGATATACATCAGAAATCTCAGTTGAATTACATACAGTCCAGAGAAGTTTTAATGGTTGTGGTATGAGCTGTAGTAATTTGTGGGAGTATATGTTTCCTGTAGAGAGTTAATGAGAGCACTGATGCCTGAATCTCTGGAGAGAGTGTGACAACTCTACTCTCAGGTTGTACCTTCTGCCGTTGATTAGTTGATTAACTACTTGAAACTGCTTTTTCTCGGCGATAAGACAAAAAATGAAACCTTTCTAGCTTGTGTCTAATCATTGCTGTGTGGGGCAGCCAAGTGGTTATTTCTTGTCATGATCTGGGTTTGATTCCTGACATGGTTATATGTGGAGAGCACATTTCTGTTGGGCTGTGATATGGCTGAATATTGTTACAAGCAGTTTTCTGTTCACTCAATGGCTATGTGATATGGCTGGAATATTATTTTGATATATTTATAAGCAGTTTATATGGGCCAGACACAACACTCAGATAAAGAGTCTGTATAGAACTGAGTCTGGGCCAGACACAACACTCAGCAATAATACAAATATATGATAGAGATTGTATAGAACTGACTCTTGATTCACTCAATGATGTGCTCTATGTTTCTTAGAGATAAAGATCTGTATAGAACTGAGTATGGGCCAGACACAATATATGATAGACTCAGCAATAATACAAATATATGATGATCTGTATAGAACTGAGTCTGGGCCAGACACAAACTCAGCAATAATACAAATAAATAGAGATCTGTAGTCTGGGGAACATCTGGGCCAGGGCAATAATACCAGACACAACAACTCAGCAATAATACAAATATATGATTTTGTTGTTGGTACTGTGAGACACAACACTCAGCAATAATACAAATATATGATAGAGATCTGTATATAACTGAGTCTGGGCCAGACAATCCAATGATTGACATCATGAGCATCAATCAATGCATCTGGGATATGCTGACCAGATGTTTGCTGAAGAAACTAGACTTTCATGTATAGATAGTAGCCATAATGAGAAGTGTTGACTACGATGATACTTATTGGATTACAGTGACTTGTGACCTGCGAAAATGAAAGGACATTTGTAGGAAATATAGAGGCAGGGGTCCCATATTGATAAGAAAAGAAGGGCTAATGGGTTATTTCTGGGTCAATAAGCAGACTCCCTGGTAATCTGAATCACTAATGATAATGAAGAATGATGCTGAAGTCAGTTGTATGACAGCAGCCTGTGAATAATGGTCACAACTATGAAACTATCAAATTCAATGGTTGTCTCTGTATTGTTGGTACAGGTACAGAGGGTCCGCCATAGTCTGTCTCACAGTCCCTGAACCACATTATTTTCCCTCATGCCTAGCCCTCCCAGCATTGCTAAAGACCCAAATGAAGCAAGTCTACTCTTTTTTTTCAATTTAAATGGGATTAAGGGTTACTATCAAAACTATATATATTCAGTGACTAAGCGTTAGTCTAGGTCAGCCAGGAAAAAGCAGCAGCTGACAGAACAAGCAATGAATCCACATCTTTAGGGTGCAATGATCAGACCGGGCTGGGAGGCCTGATCCACAATCCATCTGAACAACTACAATATTTGTAGGCTTATAATAGACTATATAGTTACGACAGCTTATAACACTACGAACACTTTGTGGATGGGGCCCTTGTTCGACAAAGTAATCAAAGTGCTATGACTACCTGAGCCCATGTTAAGGTATAGGAGCTACAACCATCTTAGCTCATTGAAAGCATTGTGGAATAATGCCCAAGTCACATTATGCATCTACAAAATCTCAGTTTCAGCTGCTGTTATGACAAGAATAAACCACTGAAAACATAATCTACACCCATATACCGTAAAGGATGAAAAAAATGTATATGCCACAATTAGAATCTGTATATAATGAAACAATAATGAAATCGGTCATGTAAATGATAGATCATAATTCAAGATGGAGCCTGACCCTTTGTCAGATGGGAATACATTTGTGACAATAAGCAGAGCCTACAAGAGGCTTTAGTATTCACTTACAGTTCTCCAATACCTACCTGACAATAATCCACCGCTACAGGAACTGAATGATTCTTCCACACTATTTAGACGACTGAGTAAAAATAGAAGTAAAAACAATACGGGCCCACCTGGAAGGGTGAGATTGATGCTGTAGACTACATCCTCAGAATAAGGCCACCATGGCAACAGGAACTTGCAAACTGTTAGAAAATATCTAGATGTACCATATTTTGTGTGTATAAAAAGGAAAGCGAGAATCAGTCACCATGTAGACTTATTGTCACCATTGTAAGTGTTAGTAACATTGTTTATACTAATCTAAATATAAGTGTTGTTTCTTTAAGAGACCATGTCATACAAGGCAACACTGCTTGTCTCAAGACTCAACTAACAGGAAGGTAGTCAGGCTCAGTGAGTTGGGTGGTTATCGTATCCTAATTGTGTAGCTCAATGCTAATAATGTCAATCCTTGGATTATCTGTTAGACTAAATTATCTCCAGATCGGATGGAATGTTCCTGAGTGTGGCATTAAACAACAAACAACCTAATGTCTTAACAATAAACTGGATGCCAGCATGGAATATTAAATGACTAAATTGCAGTATACCAGATACCACAGCCTTGTTCTTTTACAACTGTAAATGACAAACACAAATCACTTCTTTACCCTGAACATCATGTTTTCAGCTGCCCCTTGGCTCCAAGGTGACACAGTTGGAGCAGGGACATGAGTGGATACATGTGGGATTTGTGGAGCTTTATCCCCTAACACACAGCTTCAACACTGATTTGCTTGTTTGTGAGCAGTTTGGTTAAAAGTAACAAATAAGCAGGAGAAAGTCATTCATAAATGAAATATAGATACAAAATAATCCTTGAAGAAATGATAATCATAAAGTGCTTCATATCGCAATTGGGGTTCTTGACGATGACACAGGAAAATGAAAATTTCTAGGTAATATGGGTATGACAGCTGTACATTTCTGTTACCTGCCATCTCTTTCCCAGACATTAGTCACGTGACCCTTTGTCTTACAGGCCAAAGGGCATAGTTAGTTAAAGCCTTTCTCCAAGGCTGAAGTGAATGATAGAGCCATGGATGTACATAGGAATTCTATCCTCATAATTCGCAAGTCTAGATAAGACGAGGATACTAGTCTCTTAGAACTCTTATTCCGATTATTTTTTAATCTAGGAATTATGTTTCAAACAAATAATCATTTCTTTAGAGACATGCACCAGCTGAAGCCATTATATAATAAAACAATCACCCTGATTCCATTCTCATACCCATCTCAACTATAGCAACCTATGTACATCCCATTGAGGGTTCCCTTATAGAATAATTGTAACCTTATTGGGGCTGCATGTGGCTCTACTTGATGCAATGAGTAACAATATCAGTGTAAAGCTCTGACTGAAGAGCAGACAATGAGTTCAGATATATGATATATAATTCAAAACAGAAATCAACAATACCAGCATTCATACAGTGTAGTTTTTCACTGACAGAACATTAGTTGGGAGGCTCTTTTCAATTTTCCTCATGAGGGTATATCTGTGGCTGCATATGCATAATGAGGCAACTGTGACTACAAACACATCAAATTGTTGTATAACTGGAAAAAAGGCAAACTTCAAAGAAGCTGGCATTCAACTCATCTGTGATATTCTGATGACATGTCTATTTTCCATGTTGCAACAGAGATGGAAATTTATAAAAATGCTGGAATGGATCCAATCCCCAAGAATCCAAGCAGTAAATGTATGGAAGAGGGAATGTAAACAGTGAAGTATGTTCAGAGCCTAAAGCACATCTCTTGTTTAAGTCTTGCATGACTTTATCTGTCAGAATGTACCACCCATCTCCTTTGGGTAAGCAGTGACAGCCTCTCCCCTACAGCGCAACAGATGAGAGATTCCTCTCCCCAGCAGAGTAACAGATGAGGGATTCTCCCTCCCCACAAGGCGGCAGATCACTGCTTCACACCAGAAACATACACACTGACGTACCTGTCTCAGTTTAGCCAGTCTAGATGGTGGCTTGGATTTGGGGGAAGCCTTAGGAGAAAGGCGAGGTTCTTCCACCAGACCATTCTCTGGACTGTTTGGCACCACAAGCGATTCTTCAGCTCTTGTCTGAAACATGTGATGTTTCATTCAGTGACGAAATAAAACACTTACATCAAAGGTAAACAGGTCAAATGCTACAATAATTTAAGAAGGCCAGGTCAGTGTTTTTGCAGGTGCTGTGTTTGCTAGAGGATACATGCAGGTACTCCACATATTTCTTCAGTAGTTGAGACTGCAAGATAAATGCACTGATAATAATGTCACATCCATGTGTGTCGGAGAATTTGTAACTATGTTTGTATAGAGATAAAGCATGCTAATGTACAACCTCAGAAGTAGGCTGGGGGTTAATCTCACCTAACTCATATTTTTTACTTTCTGCAAACTAAAGCTCTAAGGTGACTGAAACATGAGATGACATTTTGCATTTTTCTCTCCAGATATAGGTTTGGCCCCCAATAACACGCATTAGTGTGCTTGATGCCCAAACCTGTCCACTTTGCATGTTTCATTCACATTAGCAGATGACAACAGAGCAGCACATAAGTAAAACATTTGGATGTTTTCAGTATCCAATGCAACAAAGCATAATTATGTTTGGAAGAATTGAAAACTATACATCATGTGCAAGAATATTATGAAAAAAAATGGAAAATACTCCCACACTGTAGCTTTTCTGGTAGACAAAAGTCTCTAAATATATATATATTTGAAAGAAAGAAACATTTTCTTTTAAATTGAAAAGGAACCCCATTGAGAAGGGAGAATCAGAGCCTAAGGAAAACTATACTTGTTCAATTAAGGCGTAATAATTGCTGACAAACTTCCACACAGACAAACTGTGAGTTTATTTATTGTCTCAAATTCCACAACAATAAACTGTAAACAGTCTGTCTATGTATTCATATTTGTACTATAAATTGTTTAGTCTGTCCATACACTGTATAAGGATGCAAATTGGCTTTAAAATCGAATTTATGAGTATTCATTGAAAATTATGTTGGTTTACTCAAACAAAACCCAAATCATAAATGTCCACAATTAGAATTACAACAAGGATCATTTCTTGTGCCGGAGCTTAGAGATTCTCTGAATAGATTCACAACCATCTGCAGTATAAACATATTGCGAAACATCATAAGGTAGAACATCACAGACTAACATACAGAACTGGCAACTAAAAAATAACTATCAAAATAAGATGAGTTAAAATAACTGAATTTACCATAACTGGACAAAAACAAATATATTCACCTAATGGTTAATCACATTAGTATGACATGTATATTAACATTCATCTGATATATAAATGTCATAGACAAGAGCAACCTGACTTTTTTAGCAAGGGTGTCTACAACAACATCCTCTAAAGACAACACCAGTATTTTATCGCTATGATCACACTAAACTAATATTATGCTGTTCTTTACAATACTGATGGGCGGTGGGGTAGCCTAGTGGTTAAAGCGTTGGCTCGTCACGCCGAAGACCCGGGTTCGAATCCCCACATGGGTACAATGTGTGAAGCCCATTTCTGGTGTCCCCCGCCGTGATGTTGCTGGAATATTGCTAACAGCGGTGTAAAACCAAACTCAGTCAGTCAGTCTTTACAATGCTGATTGTCCTTGGAAATATGCAGATTCTAGAGGTGTGCACTTGAGGATTTTACCTTAACCTGCCTATGTAAACAAACTTGGCGCCTGAAACAGCTCTGGTTTTAAACAGCGATTCAGGAAATGGCAACAGGTGAAAGAGTAAGTGAGGGCGTTTATGTTTTTACAGCCGGCTTCATCCTGTATTGATGGTACTCAGCTACATCTGCTGTCATTGATGCCAGAAGTAGACTTGCTTTAGTTCTCTATATCAATGTTAGTACCTTCTTGTATTGATTGACGAGTGTTCATGAGAACTATTTTCGTAACATACAATATTTGTGCATGTTAACTCAAATGCAATTATTACTTCACAGATATTTTCAGTTTCAAGCAGTGCTTTTGATGGCATTTATGAAAGAAGTATCATTTAACCAGATCAAATTCAAACATCACACAAAGAGAATGAATTAACATAAGCGATAAGATCGATCATAGAAAATAGCACAGTCAAAAGATCCATCAAATCCACTGCAAAAGAACTTATTATGAATTTCAGGAACAATCAAAGTATTCCAAGTCCTGTGTGTATCAATGGTGATGATGTGGACATTGTCCATGATTATAAATAGCTTGGCACAATTATAGACAGTAAATTGAAATGGAATGCTAATACAGATGTTGTTTTAAAAAAATGTCAACAGAGATTACATTTCCTGTGCAAGATGCAATCTTTTAACGTAAATAAATGTGTATTATCCCTCTTTTATCATTGTTTCTTTGAAAGCGTTTTAACATTTTCGTTCCGATGTTGGTATGGCTCCTTATCTCTGGTTAACAAATCTCGTTTAGAAAAAGTTGTTTTAATCGCAGGTAAAATAGCAGGAGTTTAAAAATCTGTTGTATCTTTATGACAAAAGAGTTTTGAAATTATCTATAAGCTTCCTTCTGGAAGGAGATATTTATTGCTGTCTTTTAAAACCAATAGAGGTCAAAACACATTCATTCCTTTCAGCATTCGTCTTTTAAATGATTGTTAAAGATACATGTATGTATGTCAGGTGCGCTTGTTTTATGTATCATTTGTTACTTGTGGTGTTGCTTGTCCTATATTTCCTTTGTACAAGAACTCTGTATTGATGCAAAATGAATTGATTTCGAGGTAATAAAGTATTATTATTATTATTATGACAAAGAGCATTACTTAACAAGATCCATTAAATCTATTCTAAGGAAAAACATCATTCAACAAGCCCTATCAAAGGGAAGCATCATTCAATAAGATGAACAACCATGCATAGTTAGATTCCAAGCCTGGCTGTACTGAATGCTGAGCCCATGGGTGTATGGTAGTTCTATCCCTAAACTAACAACTAGTCTCTGAAATGAACATATTTTACTGAAAAAAGTTCATAGTAAAAAAAAAATATATAATGAAAAGGAGCCCTGAGACTTTCTTCATTTTCAGAAGCTGAGGAAATCTAGACTTGCCACATTTTCTAGACTTGTGTGGGCTTTCTTGGATATATTTGCTTCAGGGTCTGTACGAGAGACTATTCTATCCCTCGAAGAGGTAAGTCTAGATAAGCAGACAGTACAGTCTCATGTTTATCATTTTTTAGAAATTATCATTTAAACTGTTAATAGAACTGAGATTCCTACCTACTGGAGATACAGTAAAAGAGTTTCGCTTGATGCATTTGAACTGCTAACCATTACAACATCTCTGACCAGCTAGACCCACCTTTCAACATATAAACACATATCAAAGCATGTATATATAGAAAATAACTTTTGATGTCATTTGCCAAAAATGGAATTTGAAATTGCAAAAGAAAGAATTTTGATCTCTTTTTCCAATTTCCCCAGCATATGAAGACATATTCCTCAAACACAAAAGACTGTTGTAAGTTGGTAATACATCTGTAAACATCTGTACATGTACCTGGGGTTTCTTCTCTGATGCCTTGGAACTGGTTCCCTTTGGAGAATCTGATATGACTAATGTTGTTTTCTCCATAGACCTGTCCTTGTTCTTTTCAGGTGTCTGCCCAGTGTCACCTGGAAACGTAAGGAATGAAGCATGTACTTTACCTTGATACCAATGCTTATAGGATACTAGTTTACCTCCTTGTTTGTGTGTCAGGTAGTCATCTGGAACCTGCAAACATTGGGAGTCCTATCAAATATTGCTGGAATTCGGCATTTTCCTCTTGCACTTTCGTCCATACATGTTCAGATAGATTGTAGATGTTCTTGACAAAGTGTGATAGTATGTGACCATCACCTTCATAGAACATACCTTGTCACATGCATATGATACAGCTGTCTCTTCAGGGTAGCCGATATATTATCTCAATATCAAGGCTAATAAACACATCCGGAATCACAAAAGCCTCAACACGAGCATGAAAACACTTAGGTAGGTAGTTTAGTTTGAGAGTTATAGCACTCATGTTTTGCAAGGTATTACATAAGCTCCTCTTACACCAGTGAGCTGATCAACTGTTTACACAGTTAGTGAATCACCCAACAACTCACTAATGTGGGTGTGCACGTGTGTTTGTGCATGTGCATGTGTGTTTTTGTGTGCGAGTGTAAGTGTGTTATTTAAAGAATCACTCAACAATCTTCCAGTAACATGACACAAACCTTAACGTAGTAAATAACCGAGTTAGTGAGAGTTTGTTTCGTTATACGCCGCTTTTAGCAATATTCCAGCAATATCAGTGGGGGACACCAGAAATGGGCTTCACATAGTGTAAAACCTTGTCCGTGCAATATCAAGGCCATTTCAAGACCACCTGATAGTTTGAGCCAGATAAAACATCAGTTGACTGCAAAAGGTGCAATCTATGCTTGAATATCCAGAAGGTGAGATTATTTTGATACATGAAATTGTGTGATGTACAAAACTATACAGAACCTTTTAAGAATATATTTGGTTTCAAACAGTTCTCTGAGTGAGTTATTACATAAGAATACTATACGTTCTACGGCTACTTGCACAATCACCATGCTGTGCATTCAAACCCTACAGGACCGTCGCCATATAGCTGGAATATTGCTGAGTGCAGCGTAAAACTCAACTCACTCACTCACTCAAACCCTACAGTTTTAGACAGTAATTAGAACCCAAACTTACATGCAAATACAGAAATATGTTTTTAATGTTTACTGATGCAAGAATACTGTGTACATTTCTAAACTGTTTGAAAGAGCTGTTACCTGTGTGTGTATCAGCAAGTTCCATGTGATGCCTGACTACTACATCAAGACATGGAGTCAGTAGCAGCATGTTACCATATACCAACAAACCATCATTTACCTGCCTTCAGCTATCTGCTCCAGACAGATGTGAACACTAAGTTTACTGTTTCATGATAAGAACTTCTTTAATAAACCTGTCACAACATTATCAATACATCGACACAGAATAGTGCCTCACACTGAATGGAATACTAGTTTCACTATTAAATGAGGTATGATATCTAAAGACATCTTTAGCCTCCATAAATATATTTGCTGAAGGCATCTTTGATTCAGCATAGCAGAGACCACAAAGTACGAGGGGCGTTAAAAAAGTAGTCAGCCTCACCTAGAAAAATATACAATGCATCTGTTTTTTTGTCTACATATTTTCTGTCAACCTCAAGCAAACTGGTTTTGCTATGTTCCAGCCTCATGATCCCCATTTTGTTTCACTTTTTATCTTGGTACCCCCCCAAAAACACAAAATCTGCAATAAATGCATCACAAATTTGAAACTACAATCACTTGCAAAGTGACCACCCCCTTCATGTTTTCTGAAAGAGCTTGTTTTGGAGACACTACCCCCCCCCTTTCAGATGACGTAATCATAAGGACATAACTTATTCTAATGTTTTCACTTATTCATAGATGATGCCAAGGGTTCAAACTAAATACTGAATGGTAACACAAGTGTCAGCTCTCAATATACTGTAAACAGTGCCAGCTTGAATATCTGGACACAATGATTTTGAAAGATGAAAATGGGGGTGTCCTTAAAAAAACAAAAACAGCCCCTGTCTAAATATAAATCAAGCAATCCAAATCTTTGAATGTTGATTATCACGGGAAGTCATCCAATACTATACTGAATATATGTTATAGGATATTATAAATATCATATATATCATACCATTATCCAAGAGGTACATTTTCTGCAATTTTTAAAGAAATATTATACCCCAATGTGTTGTGATGCCTAATATCTCGTTAACCACATTACCCACATGTGTGAAATTTTGGATATGGCTTTGCTAATGATTACTTCAAAATAAAATGGAAGCTTTTCAATCATTGGACATCGAGAATATAATAAGGCTGACTACTTTTTGAATGCCCCTTGTATATGGTTTATTATTAATTCAAGTTGCAGTCGATGTACAAGTGTCTTCTTGTCATGAATATTTCTGGCACTGCAAAGGGAGGTAAATCTTCTTGAACTTATTAGCCTCACTACTGTAATGAAAAACATCTTCCAATTTTCACATCCTAATTAAGCACCACATGGATAAGCCAAGAATGCAAACCCATTGTTAATTTCAAACAGAAGCAGCCTCATCTCTAATGAATTTTTAACATAATCCCAACTATTAATTTCTGACTGATTTTTGGGTAAGAAAGTTTATTAAGAAACATATCTAGGTCTGAATGAGTGAGTGACCTAGTATGGTTTTACACTACTTTAAGCAATATTCCAGCAACATCAAGGCAGGGGACACCAGAAATGAGCTTCACACATTGTGCCCAAGTTCTGAATGAAGAAAAACTATACAATGTACTCATATTTTATGAGAATAATTTATGTAAGCTATTAGGATATTCTGTCTGGCTCTGTGAGATCGGGGCAGGTGAAAATATACAGTGGATTAGGTGGTCATAGTGTGTGGTTTGGCTGATTGTAATTATATTTCACTGGTGTTGATTGCTGCTCATGCTATTAACCTGTGGAATGCGCATCTATTGAACATGTTGCATTTTCAAAGAATGTAGAGGAATCATATCTTATGAACATTTTTGTTTTAACCCAAGTTAAGAAACAAGGAAACAGTTGATCTGGCCTAAGCGATGTTATTACAAATTGATACATATATACCAATGATTCTTTTTGTTTAGTTGAGAAATCTTGAGTAAACTGAACTCTCACCTGACACTTTGTCTGATCCCACTAGGTGTCAGTTTATAGAAACAAGTCTACCTAGTATTACCTACCTTGACTAGTTTTCTTGTTTTTCTTGGCTTCTCTCTCCGGCTTCGTCTCCTTGACTTGAGTCTCTGTCTCCCCAGGTTTTGGTGTGGAACTCTGATGAAACAGCAAAGGTAAAAATTATGAGCATTTACCAGCCATAATATATTTCAAGTAGTAGCAACTCAAGTGTGTCCTTCAGTCAGCCCTCCTCATCAACACCTCATCAAAGTCAAGCTAAACTTGCCCCTCAAACACTGACAGCTCAAATTGGAATGTTCACAGGAATACTTCAATGCAGTATGTCGAAGTACACCTATTCCTCCTAGTTATGTCACAGCCACCTCCCTCCTTCTCTGATTACCAAACACCAGGATGTGTACCTGATGAAGACAGACTAGAGTGTTAAATACTACAGTGTAGTGGGACACACCCATAACTTACATGGAACATCAGTTAGTGTGATTGCTGTATCCTTGGGAGGGGAGATTACATGTGGGTGGGAGGAGGTTTTGTGAGGGAGGAGGAACTGGATACACAATGATTTGCTTCCATTTCAAGGTGGGAGGAGCTTGTTTCAACACTGAGAAGCTATTCTGCAGATGAATGAACTGGTGATGGCACTTCTCTCTGTTTACATCTGCTATCTTCATTCAGGTCTTATGTGACCCGTGAAGACCAGGTCTACAGACATGAGCTTGCCATGCTTGTCGTAGGTAGGCTTCTAACGGACGGGTGGTCAGAAGCTATTGGTTGTCAGATGTCATCGGTTCCCAATTAAATTGATGCTCATGCTGTTGTGGATTGTCTGGTCCAGACCGATTATTTCTCTCATATAGTGGAATATTGCTGCTAAAACTAAACTTCACTTCAGGTCTTATGTGAAGATAATGATAAAAAGAATTGAAATTGTGAGAAACATTGTCTTAGTAGAGAAAGCTATTTATTTAACTTTTTTAAGCTCTTGTGGTATTTCTGTTTGACGCAATAAGTTTCTTTTTTTGCACAATGGAAATAAATCAATTCTAGGTTTGGCTCGATTAGTATGAAATGTACAATAAGGAAACAGGAAAAAAACTTCTCTTTCAGAATGGTCACATATATTTTTATGAAAATAAATACACAATGACAGAAAACTCCAGAAATTTATCATCAGCTTCACACATTATAGGTGATACAGATCTGATTAATCAAATTATAATCTATTAATCAATCATTTTTTCCAAAGGTCAATAATATAAATTATGTCTATAATCAGAACAACCACAACATAAATTCTAGAAAATACAACAGGCTACAAGTAAAGATTGATCAGTTTGGTAGTCAGGCTTCAGTCGGATGAATGATAATGACACTTTTTCAGTGATTTCAAACACAAAATGTAGAAAGTTACCTCATTTTATTCTACACTTCTACCCAGAAAGTGATGACAACACAGTAACAGGTCAAGCACCAGTACAGTGTACACAGTATTTGAGAGTGTGTCGCAAGTGATTATATTTCAGGGCTGAGAACATTGTTAGAAATGTAAAGTTAACACTAAAAAAATACTTCAAATAAGCCACTTTCATGATTTAAACAAATATGTTTTACAAAATATTCACAATAATAGAATATACCAGATTGTGTGTGTTCAGTCAATAAGAATCATTCTACAAAGCAATAAGAATGCACAATACAGGCATCCCATACCCATCCCAAACAAACAGTTTACTCTACAACTATATTGTACCATTAGAACTTGTATAACATTACACCAGTCATCATATGTTTACATAACATTAACACCAAACTGAGCATGAAACGAGCAGAATGTACCTGTCCTCGAGCCTTGTCCTTAATGGCACCACACCTTGCCAACTTCGAGGCCACATTATTATCCATGAAGGCAGACACCCTCCTGCTTATCCTTGGCGCCCTGGCCTGAAGATGCTGGCAGGCCAAAGGTTGCTAGACTAATGAGCAGGACCCATTCACAGAGTGCTACAGGTAATTCCCAGACCTATAGCAGGATAGCTGGACTCCTGAAGCTATGCCTCATTTAGACTACACCCTGTGACTACTGCATCTAAATCATACAGCACCATGGCCCCATCCTCACCAGCCTTCACACAAGTCATAGAGAAATGATCTTCCAGGAATGTGTTTATGTACACTTGAGGGTAATATTGTCCTGGTAGTAATTCTTTATCACAGATCTGTCGATGTTTGAGGCACAAAGTATTCAGTTTTAGTATGAATTAGTGGGAAGATTAAATCAGGAGATATTTTGATCTGTATTGGGTGCCCTATGACCTCAGCTACTTGGGTAAAGTTTTTCTTTCACTGATATGAGGCAGAAGCGTTTATGCTTGAGTGATGTCATCACCCACAGGGTTGCTGCCCTAGCTATCAGCTGAGACTGGTGGTATCTTTATCTGTCTAAAACCTCACAGGCACATTGAATTGACACAGATACCGTCCCAGATACCATTTGGTTTCTGCTAATGCCAGAGTAGGTTGTAGAAGAAATGGGTTTTATTCCTCATAGTGTAGCTGTCAACACTAACGAGGGATGTGGGGTACTTGTGGCTTGATCCTGTGGTATTCAGATTCAGGAACCTTCAACTGTTACATTTTTAATGTACTGGGTAAGCATAATGACAAGGACTTGCTGCATGACTACTGACCTCAGTTCTGATCACTGAACTGGGCAGCATGATAGTCTGACAGTCTGACATGTGATAAATTGCCATGACAAGTGCAATTTCACCAAATTTATGAATGGTAGGTTAAAAAAAGAAATGACTGCAGTTAAAAAAGTATTAAAGACTTCGTTTCATAAATGTTTCATTGTTGTTTAATGCCGAGCTCAGCAACATTCCAGCTATATGACAGAGGTCTGTAAATAACTGAGTGTGGACAATCTAGTGATTAACAACATGAGCACTGACCAACACAACTGGGATAGAATGACATGCATCAACCAAGTCAGGGAGCTTGAAGGCCTGATCCCATTAGTCGCCTCTTATGACAAACTGAAGACCAAACTGTATGATGTATTTCAATCCCAAAGTAAATGATTTCAAATATGACACAAGTTACAACTTCAGCATGTAAAATTCTAGGAATGAGCAGCAGATTGGAAAACAATCCCCCTCTAATTATCCATTAAGCCATTTCTCAGGTGCATGCAATATCAAAATCAAGCTGTACTTTATGACATATATTTTGTTCATGTGAATCCAAAAGAAATACTGTCCTGTCTCTCCAATATATACTAAACAGAAATTTGGAGCCTATTGTAGACATCACAACACATGTTGAAATGATTTTGCCTGTAAATTGTATTGTAGCAACAACAGAATTTAAGGCTGATGTATAAGTAATCAGACAGCAATAGTATTCTGGTAAAATACTGTGATAGAAACAAGGAAGAAACTTTCTAAGAAAAAGTTTCACATAAAATAACAGGCTCTTTCTCAATGCCAAGGAAAACAAGCATAGAGGACCAGTACCATGCTGTTCAAGGTGTTATCACACCAGGCATAGTGATGCGTATGTCCACTATCTACAACACAGATGCGGAGTCTGCTGTATAGAGAGGCAGTGTTTTGTGGGAGGACTACCACACTGTCTTCTCTCAGATGGTTTAAATCTGCTGTAATGATGCACTGAGATATAATCAACAACAGGGACCAGCTGATGCCAAGAGGAGTTTTTGGGCAGGGAGAATTAAAAGTGAGGAAAAGTGCACCAACTGGTACTGTGTTTGTGAATCACATGTTCAGATTCAGTGAGAAGCTGAAGAATAGACAGGAGATGTAGTATAACCAAACAGTTAGACTGGCCACCAACAAGACAACTGGCCACCAACAAGAGATCACCATTTAACCCAACCCCAATACAACTGGCCACCAACAAGAGATCACCATTAACCCAACTCCAATACAACTGGACACCAACATGACAACTGGCCACCAACAAGAGATCACCATTTAACCCAACCCCAATACAACTGGCCACCAACAAGACAACTGGCCACCAACAAGAGATCACCATTTAACCCAACCCCAATACAACTGGCCACCAACAAGAGATCACCATTTAACCCAACCCCAATACAACTGGCCACCAACAAGAGATCACCATTTAACCCAACCCCAAATACAACTGGCCACCAACAAGAGATCACCATTTAACCCAACTCCAATACAACTGGCCACCAACAAGACAACTGGCCACCAACAAGAGATCACCATTTAACCCAACCCCAATACAACTGGCCACCAACAAGAGATCACCATTTAACCCAACCCCAATACAACTGGACACCAACAAGAGATCACCATTTAACCCAACCCCAATACAACTGGCCACCAACAAGAGATCACCATTTAACCCAACTCCAATACAACTGGACACCAACAAGAGATCACCATTAACCCAACTCCAATACAACTGTTTAACCAACCCAATACCGACCAACAAGAGATCACCATTTTAACCCAACTACCAATACAACTGGACACCAACAAAGAGATCACCATTTAGCCCAACCCCAATACAACTGGCCACCAACAAGAGATCACCATTTAACCCAACCCCAATACAACTGGACACCAACAAGAGATCACCATTTAACCCAACTCCAATACAACTGGACACCAACAAGAGATCACCATTTAGCCCAACCCCAATACAACTGGACACCAACAAGAGATCACCATTACACAGAGTGCAATTAAGATGGACATTTTTTAAAAACGGCAAAGAAATAATGACTGATCTTTTGTTCAGTCTAAATATGTATCACCTTGTTGTGGCATTCTTGTTTGTCTTGCCAACAGATGGTATGGTACTTAAGTGTTTTCATAATATTTCCTTACAAGAGTCAAGTTTGCTAACCCTATTCAGAAATAGTGACTCCTCTAACAAAGAGAAATTAGGTCCTGAACATGGTCCTTTGCAGCAATTATTCACCTGCCAGTACATGTATTTCTGTCCATTTTAGCTTTAACCACTGCAGAAAAATCAGTTTCTTCGCTCACAAAGGATGTAGTAAGAGTGTACAGTTGGACCATCAGGAACTAGAACTAGCAGTATATTCACACCAACAAATACACCATGGAAGCAGCTTACAATCAAGTTGTCCTCTGTAGAGTAACTACAAAAGTTCAGGCTTGCAGTTACACACCCTACTATTGATCACTGGTTTGACTGGTCCAGATAGGATTTAAACAGTGTCTCCAAGTTCTAGCTGAAAGGGCTGAATACAGCATAAAACAAGTCTGACACACATCTACACATTCTTCAGGGTACATATTCAGGGTACATATGTTATGACTTCTGAATTGACAAAAATCAGTGTGAAACTCTACAGCCTAATCACATGTTTTAGCCCAAAACGTATCTCCTTGACCATGTAAAAAGTGTGAGAGTTTGAAAGTCATCTCGAAGGCCAGGTAAATAGTAAAAGGGTTTGAAAGTTGTTTCCAAGGCCAGGTAAATAAGCAAAGAGTTTGAAACTCATCTGCAAGGCTAGGTAAATAGTCAAAGTGTTTGAAACTCATCTCCATGGCCAGGTTAATAGTCATAGAGTTTAAAACTTGTCTCCATGGCCAGGTAAATAGTCAAAGAGTTTAAAACTTGTCTCCATGGCCAGGTAAATAGTCAAAGAGTTTGAAACTTGTCTCCATGGCCAGGTAAATAGTCAAAGGGTTTGAAACTCATCTCCAAGGTCAGGTAAATAGTCAAAGGGTTTAAAACTTGTCTCCAAGGTCAGGTAAATAGTCAAAGGGTTTGAAACTCATCTCCAAGGTCAGGTAAATAGTCAAAGGGTTTAAAACTCATCTCCAAGGTCAGGAGTAAATAGTCAAAGGGTTTGAAACTCATCTCCAAGGTCAGGTAAATAGTCAAAGGGTTTAAAACTTGTCTCCAAGGTCAGGTAAATAGTCAAAGGGTTTGAAACTCATCTCCAAGGTCAGGTAAATAGTCAAAGGGTTTAAAACTTGTCTCCAAGGTCAGGTAAATAGTCAAAGGGTTTGAAACTCATCTCCAAGGTCAGGTAGAAATCAACAAGTTTTAAGACTACACCTTAAGCCTAAAACTCACCAATAAGGCAGAAAATGGGAGTATCTAAAAATAATATCCTGGGTCAGATGGAACTGTGAAGAGTCTGAAACTCATCTCCCGCACCAGGTAGAAAGTGAAAGTGCCACCATGAAATGTGGGAAGTGCACTGGTTGAAGTGCTCTGCCCTGGCACTAGGCCAGATCTTAGGGGAAATGTGTTTGACTACCACATACATGTCAAACACAGATGTACTCACACCGCTACATTCATCCTTCAACAGGAACTACATCAGTCATACAGACAAATTACTCCTTGAGAATGCAGGAGTAAATGCCCATATGAATGGGACACTTCAGGATGCTCAGCAACCGTATTCCATTTCCCCAGCTTCCATAATAAACATTGCCTATTCTTTACTTAAAATGTTTGTTAACATGTAAAAGCTTCGTTAGGTGTCTGTACCTGAGGGAAATATAAACATATCCAATAACCTTAGCATTCTTACACAAACAGATACACAAGATTTCAAAATTTACTTGTCATTTCCATTGCTACTTTTAAATTTCTATTCTACACCACGGTTAGAGCTGACTTGAAAACAATCACTTTTAGGTAACCTGTGAACAAATTGATACTTACATTTATGTATGAATAACAACTGAAATAACCTAGATACACACATCACAAGGACAATGAACACAATTCACTTCACATAATAATGAAAAACTTTAGGACTTCCTCTCCTCTGACCCAAAACAAATTGTCTTGCCTCATATCGCAAATTAAAAGCTTACATTAGTTTCAGAGTATGAATAAGTTTGAGCCACAAAGAATGATGCATCATAATTTTTTGAAGATGCAGGAATTTGCCAACAAGCAGAGTCTGGCCACTACTGAGCCAAGGATGCTTGGTACCCCTACAAGCTGGACAATATCCTAAAGAATTCTCACCATCTCCCAACTGGCTGGCCATTGTTTGAATTTTCATCAATTGATTAAAAATCACAAATACATTCATTGCAGTAAAACACCTGGAAGACCTAAAACTACCTTAAATGATGTAGACTGATATACTTACTGGGTTCAAATTTAGTAGTAATGAAAGAGGTACAGTAAGAAACCATATATCGGTATTTAGGCTCTGGGACAGTGTATGCAATTAAACAGACCATAATCCTTATGTTTGGGGTTGTAATGTATGTGGCTATCATTTGGTTCATGCCTCCAGTTGTCCAGAGATATCACCACAAACAGGAGAGCTGTAAACATAGCATCTCTTGTCACGCTGACATCAGTACATGAAAGATATTTTATTCCTACAAAAACCATCAACTGCACTGAGGCAGCTGCACTGTCACTCATGGCCAAAGGGACATAACTGCTATTTGCTTCTTTCCCAAGGTCTGCATTCTGAGACAAATTATATTGTTAACAGAACATAAATTTTGAAGTTCCCAGTAAAAAACATTTAAGACTTTGAATGTTGTCTGTTGGAAGAAGAAATAAAATATTGTCATATGGAGGCATGCAACCTTCCTCACTCCCTGAGAGGTCAGTCAATAACATATATAGGTGGTTTGATCAATAAGACCAAATTATTGAATCTGAATAGGTAGGTAGGAGTTTCTTTATCTGACCATTAAATGAATAACAGTGCAGGATGCTGTCTTGAGGAACATAAAAAAATGTACCAAAAAATAAAAGACAGCAAAAAATGTCCTTAACTTCATGTGGAGCTAATTTGCAGGGTTGAAGATTAGTTTCTTTTGCTGTTTGGACATTTTAAAACGATTATTTCTTTAGCTGTCAAATTTGGGACGGATGAATAGGAAATCTATGACTTGTTCCTGGTGTGTCTTCAAGAGACAGACATGTTTTCATGTGCAAAGAAAATGGACGGATCAGATGATTTAAATGACCAGAATCTCAGGTCAACATGGAAGTGTTGAGAAAAAGCCACCTAGTTTTTATAAAACTACTCCACACTGTTCGTAGTCAGCACAAAGACACAAAGTGAGCTGTATATTCAATGTCTCCATCAACTGAGGATGTGACTCTGTAATGAGGGTTTGAAATTTTTATGTTTTTTACTGTCTGTGACATGTGGTTATCTGATGTGAGATGACAGAATGTTATTAATGTAATGAAATGTGATGATATTAAATGTTTATGACTACAAGCATGACCATTTACGAATTACTGACACAATGGAAAAAACACTGAAAAATATATAACTCTATCATGTATCAGGTTTCATCGTGATCACTTTGACATTCTGAACAATTACTGCTAAAGCTGTAACTCAATACCATGATGAATCTTTATCTAATTGTAGGTCAACACTTCCTACCAATAGATCAACTCTCTGGATCAATGTGTCACACAGAAGATAGTGCTGACACATGTCACAACAAGAATTCATTAATTTCTTCTTAAAGGCACAGTGTCACACATTTTGGACAATATTTTGGACTATATTTTATATATTGGTGGCATATACACTCACTTTAGCTTCCTACTGATGAAAAAAAAAGACCCACGGCTTGCATGAAATCGATAATTGAAACTTCGAGAGGCAAACAGCTTCCAAACAGATAACACTTGCCATAATGGAATGTAAATGATTACACTGTATAAGCGAAAACTGTTGCACATGGTGTTGTCGGTGTTTGCCGAACTTGTCTCAATCACAAGTTCCGTTACAGGATATTCGTAAAGAACGCTACAAGGGACAGAACTCTATGGGGCTCGCTTGAAATAATGTTCGGCTGGTAGAGGGCACACGAGAGTCGATTTAATGCAACATTGCATAATTCATTCGATTTTTATATTGTAATCTAAATCACATTAATATTTTATTTAATATAAATTATATGGAAGCTTCCCTGAGGGCTGATAGTTAGTATTATTGAGAGAACTGCATTATGTATTTTCATAATGTGGTGTGACATTGTGCCTTTTAACATCACGCAGTATCTGATTCCTCTTTGTATTGCTATAGACATCACCGAAGTTTCAGTTTTCCAACCCTTGTGCTTTCTTGACAAGAATGATTTCAATATATTTTTCACTATTTCTTCTTTTTCAATGTTCACAAAATATGACAAATGAAATGTTAATTAAGATTCTTGCTTGTAATAACTAGTTGATGTGATTTGTCAAAATTGGAGGGGAACATGTTGTCTTCTATTCATGTTTGCCATTTAAGTATGTCCCTTCTGGGCTACATCCAGACCAATCTGTAATTACTTTCCACCTACCTCAACCAAGACATTTGCCCACACTATCTTGTGTATATAAACTTTTGCTACGGAGGAAAACAGAGAATGTAAAAGTGGTATGTTATTATCCCATCACTTTTCAACATCAATGACATTCGAACTAGGATTGTTCACTCCACTTCATCTCTCAAAACAAATTTTAACTCTATGTGTGTGATTTTTATAGGCAGCACCTTCATGTCAATTTCCTAAGTGTCTAGGGAGATTATGTTGGTGATTGAAGAATATCGTGAAGAAGTATAACAGTCTACTGATGTGCTTCAGATCCAGACACGTCCATGCCAGATAGGGAATGGCAAGAGCTTATCAGCATTAGCTAGAGAATGGTGAATGCTGAAAACTGGTTGATTGTTGGTTGCTGTTATGCCTGATCATATTTGAATAATTTCATCAAGTACAGAAACAAAACAACAAACATGCAATTATCTGGAGGTACTTTCACACAACAAAATCATGAAATGCATGTTGTTGTTATGGAAGGCAGAGATGCTGACATAATCATCCATTAATGTCCTAAACACATTGAACCTCAGTCCTTCTTTGAAGCAAGATTTAAGAAGAAGTTAGAAGTGATCGTGAATGGACAGATAATATGCATAGCTTAATGCCAGAAGCTTACTTGAACCATTGGTATTGGTGAGCTAGAAATAAACTAAAAAAGATAAAACTCAAGTTTACCTTGTCATAATCTCTGGTGTGATCAAAGGAGACAAAGTTATCTGATTCAGACATCTGGGCACAAAACCTGTAACGTGAAATAAAACTTGTACATATTTTATCCATAACAGAAGGTGTGAGCTTTGTTGACCACAGTCTTGACTGCATTAAGTACATGATGTGTACTCCAATATCAAAGAGACATTTCAACAGTTTTTACATGTAATATGTTTGCCTTCATATATTTCTTTAAAAATACCCACAACCCACATCTTATAGCTGAGTACAGTCTTACCAACAAACAAATGTTCTCATGACTCACCTGTTCTTGGTGGGCGTGGCATACTCATCTACAATGCGTTTGATCAGTTTGGGTGTGCCCATCTTATCACTCAGGGCCTCAGAGAGATCTGACTCCTCCTCAATCAGAGTTGACAGCTTCCTTGCTGACTGGACAGAAGTTTGCCTGACAAAATAAAAATGCAGAATATATATTAAAAAATGTTTCCATTCTTCACATGATACTTTACTCAGAAGAACATTGCACTCAAGAGATTTCTTTCTTTGAAGATCATAAGCGGACTGGTATTTAATCTGACTGAATGGGTTTCTTTATATTATTTTAAGCATTTTAAAGAAATGTTTAATGCTCTAGTTTATATATGTGCAGCAACTTAAAAAGGAAACAAAATAGATACACTAAACATCATGTAAACTGGTAAAGATGACAGGACAATTGGCAGTTTCTAATTCTGCCTTTAGACTCCAGACTACTTGTATTTTATTGCATGTTTGTCCTCAAAACCTCAGCAATGCAATGTTATATGCATTTTACCTTGCAATCTGTGCTGAGAAAGCCACATCGTGTGCCGTACTCTGAGTTGTGTCAGTTCTCTCATGGTACCTTGGATCCGGGTCGTGGGCGGGGAGCTCACTGCAACTGTCAAAGTACTCCTCTGTGGAGAGGTGGAAGCTGACAGACTTGCCATCATTCCTGGAGGAGGCTGAGGCCATGTCCTGCTGGACATACTGAGGGTACTCTGGTCTGTCTGGAGTGGAATCTGGACTGGTTGAAAGAAAGTCCACTTCATCAACCGGGCTCCTTCGTCCACGTTCAATGGCAGCCTGGAAACTCAAGCTTCGACTTCGGGTAAACTGGGACACATTGTTGTCATTTGCGTCTTTCCTATTTTCAATGGCATTTGTAAAGCTGGGTCTTCTGAATCCTGCTGGACTTTGAACCCTGACATGGACATTTTCCTTCTTATGCATCCTGTCTCCTACACTCACGGGAATATTTATGCTGCCTGTGGTAGGATGACTCAGAGTTTCGCGTTGCTTTCAGCAGGCGTCCTGACTGCCACTGCCATATCTGATAGAACTCCGGATGAAGTCTCTCCTTCTGTTCTGTCCATCCACACTTCGGGAACATCTTGGACTGACATCCACACCGCTGGTGGTGCTGGAGCTGCTGGAGGTGTTGAGGTTGGTGTAGAAGTTGTTGTGACTCTCAGGGTCGTGGTAGCAGTGGCGTTGATGGAGAGAAGGGCAGGACAGGGTGTGGTGAGATGGAGCATTGCTGTTCTTCTGGCACACGGCACAACTGTCTCTGTCTAGGGAGGAGTACTGGTTCAGGGCTGAGAGTGTGCTTGCACGCTTGTTGGGTCTGGTGGTTGGGTAGTTGCCATTAAAAGAAGTCAATGGTCAGTGCATCTAGTACATAAAGAGAACAATGAAATGCTCTGAATACAGAAGGAACTGCAATCGAATTTTAGGCAGTACACACCCTATTTCAACATTATCAAAACACCTGCAATGTGGTTTAATGCTAGAATATGTTCTCTTTCAACTGTAGTCAGTGATACTTAACAAATGCTGACACATGATCAAGTCATGGGCCAGTGTGAATGAGGTGTGAGTATGGTTTTACGCTGCTTTTAATAATATTCCAGCAATATCACGGTGGGGACACCAGAAATGGGATTCACACATTGTACCCATGTGGGGAATTGAATCGAGGTCTTCACCGGTGACAAGCAAAAGCTTTACCACTAGGCTACCCCAACCCTCTCTGGGCCAGACAAACCTCTGGCTGACAGAAAAACAGTGTTTAAATAAATTGCTAGGCTGGCATCAAGACCAACAGAAGCTGCAGATCCTGAGTAAACTTTTAAGGTTGTCAAACAACTGCAACTTTGTGACAAATACCAGGACATGTAAATTTACGGAGGCCACAAGGAACCATTCAAACTTGACACTAAAATGCCTGACAGAGATTTTACCTGCCACAGGTCTACCAGTTGGTATAAATTTTAAACACTGAGTTATGGGTATACCTGCATCAAGTTACAATGTCACTGCAATGTGGCAATGTTAGTTTTGTTTCTTGTTTTACTACAGTCAGCAGTCAAAGAATACAACTGTCCAGACAGACCTGTGGGGTATCATGAGCAATGCCTCCGCAATCAAACAATCAACATCACAGAAACCACAGCACTGAAAGTAGTTGCCTCTTACCCTAGCCATGGAGTACTGGAGACCTATTCCAGCTTGGGTCAACCCTAACATACCCACATTGTCATGATCAGCGTCTGAGCAGTCATCACTGTCAAGTGCTTCTCCCCAATAATTCCCATTTTAGTAATTTATTACAACACACATGGTAAAATCATTTTCCCTGCCATACGTTATGGATGAGACAGAAAGTAAAAAGTCATTCTTTATGATCTTCTGTCTTCTATATACATACATATATATATATATATGATGAGAGAAATGCAATTATACTCCCTCATTCAATACAAATAAATCAAAATAATTATGATCTAATACATCTCTGTTTGAGTGTCTGACACAGAGTTTCACACACAATTATATTTCCTGTTGCCTCTAACAGAAACACAGATATTGAATTTTCACTGAAACCAACCAAACATAACTCATTTCCCTACAATTTCAAGAAAAATATAGGGTACACTAATCAGTAACCATCCAAAATGTTCCAAACCAATCTTAATGTTGAATGGACTTCATGGAAGAATCATTTGTGACATTTACGGGCAGTAACACTAAGCAGTGTGCTGCCAGATCAATATATTTGACAGTCCTCCTACCAACAAGTGGGGAGCTTGGAGGTGTCACATGTGTTCACAATAGTTGCCCGATGAGTCCAGCTTCAGCTTCATAGGCTTGCCCTTCTGCAACAACAAAAATTCTGATGAAACATTGCTTGCAGCGTTCAGCGCCCGACAGTTCTGGGTGTTCAATGACACAGCATGGACAGAGGAGTGTAGACAGTAGGGCTGTAACAAATACACTATGTACTTGAATATGATACATTATCACGAATATTGGGTACGAGAATACAAATAATTATTCGGTATACAATATTGTAGTTAAGTGATTGATGCACAATATTGATTGCCCATGGTAACAGTGTTAATTTGTCACAGCAATAACCAGTCATCTCATGACACTCAAATTTGGTATGTAATAGTTATAGTTGACAGTACCTTATCGACCTTGGCAAACTAACATGACTTTGCACTACTACAAAGGCTAGTACATAATGCATTCTTGCATATCTCATATTGAAAAGGACATAAGGGTTCAAGTAAAACACACTCCATTAAAAAATTGTAAATATTCATGAATATTAGGTTCTGGTGACCACGAATAACGAATTGAATTCATGAAGGGCTGCGGTTCGATTCACGAATATCGCGAGTGGAATTGTAACCTTGCAATAGTAGACAGATATTTTGTTTGTTTGTTTAATGCCACACTCAACAATATTTCTAGCCATTTGATGGTGATCTGTAAACAATTAATTCTGGACCAGACAATCCAGTGAGCTGACATTATCAGTATTGATCTACGCAACTTTCATGGAATAATATGACTGCCTGATCCTGTTGATCACCTCTTAAGACAACTGGGGTTTCGAAAACCGGATCTTCAGGGGTAGACAGAGGTGAAGAGTGGTGGGAGTGACTTGAGTGAAGAGTGAGTTTAGTGTTGCAGCTGCGTCAGCAATATTCCAGCTATATATGGCGGCAGTATGTAAATAATAGAGTCTGGATCAGACAATCCAGTGATCAACAGCATGAGAGCATCGATCTGCGCAACTGGGAACCAATGACTTGAGCAGGAGGTGAGGGTGGCGTTGGGTGGGCTGAAGTGATGTGAGGTGAGGTGAGAGGTTGGATGGAGTGTGGCAATGTGAGGTGATACTGGATGGGGTGAGGAAATGTCAGGTGGCGAGGTTGTGTTGAGGTGAAGTGCACCATTATTGCAGTTATGTAGTAATGTGTACGGGGGATGTGTGTGTGGGTGTGTGGCTGCTTGTACCTGTCAAGAACTAACTGGCCAGTTTGATGGAGTGCACAAACCCATTTAGAAATAAAAGCGACACTTTACCATGGACTCAAACACAATATTTTCACTCAGACCCAACTGGTCCCTGTTTTATATACCCTTAAAAAGCTGAGCAAAGACAAAGGAAACAACTTAAAGTACAATGTTTTAACATCTTTTTGGATGATAAAGGGGGGCAAGGGGATCAACAATTAACCTTACTCTTCTTGGATAGATCATGCGGGCAGATGGCACATGGATGAGAGAACATGCACTAAGAGATTGTGTGAGTCAGTTTACTTACTCATCATAGTTATTTTTGTTGGGTATTGATTTGTTAAGGTTATCTAACTGTTAAGATATAAATTGATAAAAAGTTACACATTCATGCTCAATTTTTGTTATTGTTATGCATTATCTTATCTTGTATATAAACTGCTGTACCCCATCAGTCACCCTTATGCTTGAAAGCTGGTATAAGAACCTATATACCAAAACGTAAGATTTATTGTGTTGTTTTTATTTATTTATTGGGAGGTGGAAATCTAAATGTTTGTGAGAGAGTTGTCATTCCATGTTATTATTGTTCATATTATTTCCGTTGCAATTCTATATGGTGATTATTTTATGCAATTTGTAAAGCAAGCTGAAGGTTTTCAGTCAGTTAATATACTGCGGTACTTTTACATAAAACTAATGTGAGGTTACTTCCCCAGTAAGATCGCTACACAACTTCCAAGTGACATGTGTCTGAAATTTACAGCTGCACCATGTGTATAAGCCATGGTGACTGGGCAGCAAAATGTCTGTTACGAGAGACAGATACAAAGCACCTCCTTGACATGTGCCCTCACCCCAAATGGTCATTACTCCTGACCCCACCAATTACAGCCATCCCACAGAGGTGCGCACCCATGCTTGAGGAATAAGCCCACTAACAATTCACTGTATAATTGCTCATTATAGCTTTCAAACTTTCAAAATGGGTGTGAGATCTGAAGAAGATCGGTGGACACCTAGATGCAGAAAGGGTGAAACTATCCCTGACTTTAGCACTTAAATACAACACTAAGCTGTGCATCTGGCTGATTACACGGTGAAACCTTCCTAGTCAAACCATCTTTATATTAAGCTGTAGCTGGAACAAGGAAAACACTTCGGTGGCATAGGCCATACTGCTGTTAAGGATTAGGTCAAAGAGGAACATCAGTAACTGAGATTTAGCCACTTGTCTGAAGCTGGTGTAAGATGGAAATGGATTTTGATCTTATCAAGTTTGTCAATGAGAGTCCATACATTAACACTAAGGTCTCCTGAAAATGATGTCAAAGGGACTTTGGGCTTGTAGAAAGGGACTTTAGCACAGACTTATCACATGCTCTTAAACAGGAGCCAAATATTTTTTACTGTACAGCAATGAAAAATAAAACTGCAGCATAAATCAATTTTTAACGTCCATAAGACCACATTCATCTATCGAAATAATGGTTTTAAAGATTTAAAATATTCTTTCCTGCACCTCTTAAAAACTATATCGAAATTGATGGAAACTGTATTTATGTTTCAGTGATGGAAACTCATTTATGTTTCAGTACACAGCCAGTGACGCTTGTGTTCTTTAGAATGTTGTTTTTGTCTAGTATCTATATCATTCATAATTGTTGAAAAGATATAGCATGCAAGAGTAAAAGCTATGATCCACGATCAATCATCGATCATTTGCCTCAAAGGGCTTGATTGATGTGGACTTGGATAGTCGTTGGAAACTGAAGTCACAGATTACATTTAATTAATGGATTATTATACACAACAAAACATATTCAGCTTATCATGCACAAAAGCGTCACCATTTAAAGTTCAAAGAAAGGATATTTCAAGGAATAGTAAGCATTACCTACTCAACTCTGAACTTACTGGTTTAAGCA